TGTAACTTCTAATTTAAAGTTGCCGTGAGTTAAAGCAATCTCCACAAGCATGATTGTTTGCACACTGAGTCACTCAACCCAGGGTGCAATGAATCATGCCTGTGGAGATTTCATAATTTATGGGAATTCACCCTGAAAACGGATACCTTTTGCACAACTATGAGACAGGATTTCAGCCCCGGAACTAAGCAGATGGACTGAGGCTGGGGCTTTGCATAAGACAAGTGATTGAATTTAGTCCCTGGTGATGTTTCTGACTCAGAGAACCAATTCTTCTGCACTTATTTCTCATTAACAACCTGAAATGGGAAGCAAGGAGCTGTTTCTAGCCTGGGATAGATTTGCTTTGAACAGGAGCTCTGATTTGCAGACCCTAAGTTCACATCCTTGAATGCTGGGCAAAAAAGGTAAGATTTACACTTGGCCGAATCTAAATTGCTCTGATCCAAAACTTGCATCCTTAGTCCTCTCAAAAGTTGGAATCCTTCCCATTAGCCAGAATGAACCTATCATTCACACCTGCCTTACACTGCAGAGGTTTGTTTCTTGGGTAGTCCTGTTTTGCACACAGTTGCCAAAATCCTGTTGCTTAGTGTAGTAAATTGTACTAAAGCAGACTCATCAAACCACAAGGGATTTAGTGAGACAACTCCATCATAAATTTCATGGATTCAAATGGGCCTACGCTTTGTCACTAAGTATGCTAAATTAAGTTACAGTAAGAGTTGGCCCATATGGAGCGTGTAGAGGAGTTGACTCACCAAATCCTTATTGATTCAATAGGCCTACTCTAGCGATGTTTACTATGTTGGGCAACAGGATTTTGGCCACTGTCACATAGGCATGAAACCAAGTGAAGACCTCTTGGTCTCAACATTAGTGTGTTTCTCACACTCCCATGGGCATAATATTTCACGTTATGTTCTAAGGCTGGTTATTTTTCTTTTCAACACAGAAATGTGTCCAGATTTTGGCACACCTCTTTCCTAAGACATGCCTTTGAATGGGGTTCACACATTCTCCCGTTGAGCAAGACATGTTAACTGGGTTGAAATTAATTCCTTTTTCAATCCTAGGTTGAAACAGGATTGGTTAATTGCTATACTTTCCTCACTAGATCAGGGTAGCATAATAGGCTTTTACAAGTCCTGCGCAGTGGCGGCAGACCACGTGAACAGCAGCTTCATATTTGACTTTGGAGATGAAGGAAGCCTGTCTATTGCTTCTCGGCTTTGCAACGATACAGACTGCCAGCCTTCATTTGACTGTACGTAACTGCTTTTGAATCTCATTCCAGTATATATACTGCTTCTTTACTAGTGCACTGTTGTGTTTTGTTTTTGTTTTTTGTAATTTACAAAAAGATATAGTAGACATCTGATCGGTCAGCCTGGAGGCAGGCGGTACATCACGGCCTCTCCCAATTTGAAGAGACCCTTGTCCAGCAGGCCGAGGCAAAGAGCAAGTCACAAAGGAAGCAAAACCAGGGAGCTGGACAGGGGACAGATTGGATTTGTCTTCAGTGTGGAAGAGATTGTAACTCTCGAATTGGCCTCCTCAGCCACACTAGACGCTGTTCCAAGTCCTCCATACAGAGCACGCTACCATAGTCTTTCGAGACTGAAGGATGCCTACACACACACATAGTAGACATATCTTAAATTTGTAAAACTCAACATGTATGTCTGTTTCCCAGAAAAGATGCTGATGTTTGGCTAAATTAGATTGGGTTGCTTTGTGTGTATCTTTGTTTTTTTTTTTTGTCTTTTATCTTTTCCTCCCAAATATTGTGTTGCTGGTAAATCTTTGTGTAGCTGGAAACGGTTAGAGATTAACTGAGATGGAAAAAAAAGGAATGGAAAAATAAAGAAGCTGTGCCACTATAAAAAGAGAGAGTGCTATATGTTATCGTGAGCTTTTGTGGACAAGTCCACTTCCTCATCTGTCAGAGAAAGTCTTTTTCTTTTGTTTTTGCCTAATATGCTAGCACAGACTAACATGGGCCCCTGTTCTAAAACGATTCAGATGAGTCACATGGCAGATAACGACTGCAGAGATTTGTTAACATACAGCAATAGGCAGCTAAAAGGTAGACCTTTCGTCTAAATGCACAGCATGATTTTAACCAATTTGTGAGTCCTTTGGATGCCCTTCTGGAATTTCATTGGGATGGAGCCACAATGGTATCAGAGTGTGAGAATAATTGTAGAGAAGAGCAGAGAAAATCTGCCCATCCTATTAACTAAACCAGGGATGGAGAATGTGTGTGCTTTACCAGATGTTACCAAGGCCACTGGATGTAGCCGTGTGAAAATGAAATTACAGTGGTACCTCGCTAGCCAGTTACCCCGCATGACAGTTTTTTCACTAGACATTGACTTTTTGTGATCGCTATAGCGATTCCCAAAACAGTGATTCCTATGGGGGAATTTCACTGGACAATGTTTGGTCCCTGCTTCGCAAACCGATTTTCGCTAGACGACGATTTTGACAACTCCCTCCGTGCTCGCAAAACAGGTGTTTTCGGGACCTAAGCTTCGCAAGACAGTGATTTAAACAGCTGATCGGCGGTTCACAAAGCGGCTTTCCTATGGCCGATCTTCACTAGACTACGATGATTCTTCCCCATTGGAACACATTAAACGGTTTTCAGTGCATTCCAATGGGGAAATGCTTTCACTAGACAATTATTTTGCTAAACAGCGATTTCAGTGGAACAGATTATCATCGTCTAGCGAGGCACTACTGTAGGTCCCTGCACTTTTAATAATAATCATCATGTGCTGTCAAGTCAATTCTGGCTTATGGTGACCCTTTTCAGGGTTTTCCAGGTAGAGAATACTCACAAGTGGTCTGCCTTTCCCTTCTTCTGGAGGTGCCCTAGGAGTGTGCAGCTTTCCCAAGGCTGCACAAGCTGGCTCTGCTTCATAAGAAGCACAGTGGGGAATCAGCCTCCGAACCTCTACAACCAAGCTATCCAGCCAGCTGTACCTTTAATAACAATCATGCACTGTCAAGTCAATTGTGACTTATGGAGACCGTTTCCAGGGTTTTCCAGGTAGAGAATGCTCAAAAGCGCTTTATTGTTCCCTCTCTTCTGGGGATGCTCTGGGACTGTGCAGCTTGCCCAAGGCTACACAGCCTTGTTCTTTTCACAGAAGGCACAGTGGGGAATTGAACTCCCAATGTCTGGCTCCGCAGCCGGATACTGAATTGTGGAGAAAATCATATTCCATCACATCTAGCTTGCATGACAAATTCTAAAGGAATATCCAAGAAGCTCCAGAGGGCCATAACCTGCCAGTTAAGAAAATGGGAGTAAGGCAAAGGTGCTTAGCTCTAGAAAATTACTGTGCTGTCAACTTGGGACTGATTCTCTGGATCTTAGAGCTCACTCTTTGTTTTGCATGGATCTTGCAGATGTATACATGGAAGCTTTCCTGAATGGAAAAACATGCCCCAAATGCTACAAGCCAGGCTATACCAGCTGCAAAGACAATGGGACCGTATCCTGCCGAGGAAATTTCGTAACATGTGCTGTAATTAGTGGGGAAATGTCAGAAGGTCATTATTATTCTTTTCCTTTTTAAGGTTCTTTCGTCTCTTTGCTCACCTTTCTTTTTGTGTGTGGCTGCTGTGAAAGAGGTTTAGAGCTGAGTGACCTTCAGAAAAAAACAGACAAGATGATTAATAAGTTGGAGCATCTCTCCTACGAAGGACAAGATGTGAAGGACTAGGCATAAACAAATAAAATCAGAGAGGGCTTTTCCATTTCTTTGCAAGAGAAACATGGGAGATTATTTCCTCCACAGCTCCAGCTTTCTGGAGATTTCAGACAGTTTTCCTATCAAACAATTCTCCCCCCACCCCCGGACACTTGCGTGAACCACTGAAGGCACCGTTATTTCTTCATTTGAAGCTTGTCGCCTTCTGAGAATGTAATCTTAAAAAGCTATGTATAAATGTTTTAATTTAGTTTAATTTAATGGACTTCTGTTCCACCTTTTTCCTCGGACTCAAGAGAGCTCACACTAGAAAAGGATACAGATATATAACATAATTCTTGTAAGCATTTTAGATCAAGTAAATTTATTTATTGTCATTGTAAGTATACACATAGTATACCCATACAACGAAATTCACACAGACACCCAGAGACCAGACCCACATGCACACACATAAAAAAAAATCCCCAAACACTCCCCACCCACTAAAATCCCCCACTAAGAATACAAACATCTACACGGCAGGCCAAATAACACCATCCAACTATTCACTACTGGTGGTCTTTAAGCTCATTATTAAGTGCAATTATAGCTCTGGGATAAAAACTATTCAGAAAATGTGTGGTCCGAGTCTTAATTGTTCTATATCTTCTGCCAGACGGCAACAGTTTAAAAAAGTTGTAAGCAGGATTGGGAAGAGTCTCTCAGGATGCTGTGTGACTTCCTCAAACAATGGGATGTGAAGATGTCATCCAGGGCTGGTAGCTGGATGATGTTCTGGGCAATTTTAATGGTTCTCTGTAGAGCTTTTTTGTCCGCTACAGAGCTACTCCCAAACCATGCCAGAATGCCATAGGTTAGGACACTCTCAATGGTGCTACGATAGTAGGACAGAAGTAAATGCTGAGATAAATTTCACTTCCCGAGCATTCTCAAGAAATACAGCCTCTTCTGTGCCTTAAATGAGCACTTAAATCTTTTCTTGTGCCTTAGGTCCCACTAAAATACCATTCGCTGCAAAAGGATGTGCTCGTACTGACTATGATGGTGATATCTCCGAGAAAGCACCAGTGACAATTGAGTCGGGAATATACACCTACAAATTTGTCAAAGTCACCTTTCGACCCGCCAACAGTGCTTTGGCAGCCATGCGACGCATCGCGTTTACTCTGGACTACAAAGACCTTGGTCCTCAACTTGCTTTTTTCTTCCCATGCTTCTTGGGCGTCTTTGCGGTGAAAATCTTTTCCTGATGAAGAAAGAGCCAGCTAGCATCTTGGACAGCTTAAGGCATAATGACGATCCCTTTGCAAACTGATACAGTATTTTTAATGCTTATTCAAAAAACGGTGAGGTATAGATTTAAATATAAATAAAAGTCACCTGGCTAAACTTATCTGAGTGTGATCCAAGCTGTCTTTCTCTTCTCCATAGGGATGGTGAAGTCATTCTATTTTAGACAATTTTATCCATAACGTATGCATTTTGTGTGATGTTTTCATGAATATTTTTATTTTACACACAACACTTTAATAAAAGTAGTAGTAGTAGCAGCAGCAGCAGCAGCAGTAATAGTAGTAGTAATGAATGAAATAGATGAAGTGGTCCCTGTAGCCATCGGGGCTTTGGGAACAATATCAAGAAATTTCACGAAGTACTATAAGCAGTTGCAGATCTCAGATGTAACACTAAATAACACCATAACTGCTGGAAGAAATATCAACAACCTCCGATATGCAGATTATGCTTTTGAATTGTGGTGCTGGAGGAGGCTCTTGAGAGTCCCCTGGACTGCAAGGAAAACAAAGGTGTCCATTCTAAAGGAAATCAACCCTGAGTGCTCACTGGAAGGACAGATCCTGAAGCTGAGGCTCCAATACTTTGGCCATCTCATGAGAAGAGGAGACTCCCTGGAAAAGACCCTGATGTTGGGAAAGTGTGAAGGCAAGAGGAGAAGGGGACGACAGAGGGCGAGATGGCTGGACAGTGTCATCGAAGCAACCAACATGACTTTGACCAAACTCCGGGAGGCAGTGGAAGACAGGAGGGCCTGGAGTGCTCTGGTCCATGGGGTCACGAAGAGTCGGGCATGACTAAACGACTAAACAACAACAACAACAAACACCATACCAGCTACAAAAATGGCAATATTAAGAACAGCATGCATTCTGCTCCAATATTTAATAGATACTTAGGTTTTAGGTTAAACTTGCATCTGTTTTATGTCAATGTTTTTATAATTTTGATTGACTGTGCCTGATATTTTTGAATGATAATGATGGTGATCATCATTATCGTTATCTTAGAACTTAGAATCTTACAGATCGTTAGGTCCAGCCTGTCTCAAGAAGGCGCACAGGGTCATTGAACACCCAATGTCTGACTCAGCAGCCAGAATACCTGAACCACTGAACTTTCTGACAGTGTCTTCAAGAACTGTACATCTGTTATACCCTGTAAGGATTTCCATGAGTTCAAGTCAACTTTTCAATACAGAATAATAGTAATACTTTTCTATTTTGACTAGATAGCTTTGTGATTTGGCATCTGGCTGTGGAACAAGAGGTTGGGAGCTCAATTCCCCTATTGAGTTCTGACTTAGCTCCTACCCATCAGGAGGGTTTCTCTGCAGTTCCATCTAACCCTGGCTCAGCTCCAGATGCCCACCTAGACAATGTTGTTAAAATTTGAAATTGGTGCCTCTACCAGATTTGGTATAGCCAGCAAGATAGAAACAGTTGATTTCCTGGACATGGGAAAAAACATGGGAAAAAAAAATCTATGACCGTATTAAACTGGATCTGATGGATAAAATCATGTTGCATAGTTATTCAAAAGGTTAATGTTTTAACTGTCAATTTCTGTGCATTTAAAATCTCTGTAGTCATTATCTACTCTACTTTATGTGAATATTCACATAAAGAATATTGATGGGCTTTATGTGTGCTTTGACTTAATTATTCAACAATGGATCCAATGGGTATATTGTCTAAGAGACAATATTAATAGGACACTGGCCTTACTAACCAATGGTTTTGTAATCTCTCTGGACCAGGAAAACAATGTTATGTTAGCTAACAACTCCTGGGGTCTGAAAAGCTGATGGACTCCAGATAGTAGAATCTTCCAGTCAACAGTGTTAGGTGGTCACCCTCAGTTTGAATTGGCTTGGTGGAATGCTGTTATTATTTTTAAAAAATGCTAGGCACAGTCAATCAAAATCATAAAAACATTGACTGGTGTTACATGAGCGACACAAGTCTTTACCAAAAACCTAAGTACATGTTAAACATTGAAGTATTATATATACTGTTCTTAATATTGCCATTTTTGGTAGCTCTGATTGTGTTATTTCTGAGATCTGCATCTGCTTATAATACTGTGTGAAATTTAAAATCACGGACTGATGGGTTTGCCTTGTAATGGCATTTCATAATTTCTCAATTTTAAGTGGGAGTCCAAGTTTTGTTTTACATTGCTCCAGTAGCTTTGCAGTGGCCTGTCCTGCTTTCTCAACAAGGTCTGCTGAGCCCTGTAGCCCCATCTGTCGCCAGATGTCCACAGGTTATAGCATCTGACGTGGTCCTTGTTGGCCCAGGCAACAACTGATCTGGTGTGGATTTCTGTTTATTCCCTCTCATCAGAACTGATGGTTAGTGGACACAGTTGGTCTGGCTTCTCAGCTGAGACCTGTCTGGCTTGGGAGACCCATTAGGTAGCAAAAAAACAACCGGCAACATAGTTCTCAACCTAACAGAAGCAGGTAAGTCCCCCTCTCCCCCTCAACAAGTCCATAGGGAGGATGGTGAAGAAGAAGATGATGATAATGGGTGGATGGATATTTACTCCACTCTGTCCGTTCAGGTACTCCTTGTCAAGAAATACAAAGTAATATATATATAAAATGCAGATGTGACACAATATGGCCAAACCTGTCCTCAGCTTAAAGTTAAACAGCTTTGTTAGTGCCTAACAAAATTCAGAGTCCATATATCATCAAAGAATTGATGCTTTTGAATTGTGGTGCTGGAGGAGGCTCTTGAGAGTCCCCTGGACTGCAAGGAGAACAAACCTATCCATTTTGAAGGAAATCAACCCTGAGTGCTCACTGGAAGGACAGATCCTGAAGCTGAGGCTCCAATACTTTGGCCATGTCATGAGAAGAGGAGACTCCCTGGAAAAGACCTTGATGTTGGGAAAGTGTGAAGGCAAGAGAAGAAGGGGACGACAGATGATGAGATGGTTGGACAGGGTCACTGAAGCGACCAACATGAATTTGACCAAACTCCGGGAGGCAGTGGAAGACAGGAGGGCCTGGTGCGCTCTGGTCCATGAGGTCACAAAGAGTCGGGTTATTATATATTTGAAATCTTTAACCGTTCCCTCCTTATCCTCTGAGCCTAGGAAGAGATATAATAACCCCTTGGAAAGTTAGAATCCCACCAGCAAAGGGTCTTGTGTAGTCAGTAAGAAACCTTGTGATCTTGCTTCCTCACTGCAGGATGGCTGATGATTTTTTTTTCATTAGTCTCAGAAGATTTTGCGCATTTGCAGGACAGGATTTGCATGTGTGCTTTTCTGAAGAAAACAAAAAGCGTTAGCAAAAAAAGAGTAGTTCATGTGCCACTTGGAATATTTCAACCTGTTGTTCCTGGTATTGGTGTTACAGCCAGGTAACCTTATCAGGACTGTAATAGCACGTATATTGCCCGGAATCATTTCCAACTTGGTACCATAAACTATTGTATGATTGATGGTCAATGATGAAGTGCTCTTTACTCTTAGTCACACCCTTGAGTTAGAAAGTTAATGTTTAAGGGAAAATATATTCAGTTAGGACCCCATCACCCTTTATTAACTGAAAGATGCTCTCTCTGTATAATTTCCTCCTCTAGAGAAACTCTTATTCTCTTAGAGAACTAAACCTGACTTGCCTACACTCCAGACAGAGCGTTCCAATGGATCTCCTTGCCTTCTTCCTCTTCTCTGCTCTCTTCGCTGTAGCGGGAACGGCGGGACCAACAGGTATGCTGGTATTTTTGGGTGGCATTGAACTGCTTCTGGGACATTTCTGGCCCAGCTAAGTCAGGCAGTTCCCTAATATTCTCGGGGATGGGTCCTTGTGGCACAGACCAAGCCTAGCTCTGCCTTGGTGACATGATGGGTTGGGAATGACAGCAGGAAGAAGGATAACTGGGAGTGTTTGTTAGTTTAGTTACCTGCCGAACCCCTTTCTTTTCAAGATCATGTGCCCATTATTTTCCATGTTCACGGAAGCCCAAGAATGTTAAGAAACTAGAACAGACATGTTATTTGTGGGGTGGTAGTATGTAATGGTATCCTATTATACAATGAATTTCAGCTTCATCCTTCTGTTGGTGCTTGATGCCTCTTATTGGTAGAGTGTAATTCAAGATTTGTCTTTCACTGAAATAAACCTGTGGTGAAGCCAAACTAATCACAGAACAGGATAAAGAGAGATCTATTTGGTTGGTTGTGGGTTTTTCAGGCTCTTTGGCCGTGTTCTGAAGGTTGTTCTTCCTGACGTTTCGCCAGTCTCTGTGGCTGGCATCTTCAGAGGACAAGAGTAGGAACTCTGTCCATGCATCTGTTTGATCCACCCAACTGGCAATCAATGTTATCAACTTAGGAAGGTCAACCTTGACCACTGGCCTTCCTAGCTGTGGCTAAAGGATGTTGGAACACAACAATCTCTGGAGGTTGAGAAGTTCTCCTTAACCCCATCGTGGCACATCCCATATGAAGTCCTGCTATGGGTGGCACCATGGGATGGAAATGGAGGCAGAAAGAATGGATAATCTAAGACTCTGATCCCAAGGCCAGGCTGTACAATAAAATTAATATGTCATTAGAAACCCATAGCATATTTCCCTCCAGTGACATAATCCCGTCAAAGCTCTATCTGAGCAGTCAACTTGCAAATGAGTCCACCATGTACTTCTTGACCACAAATCAAGCACCAAAGGCAACCCAGTATCCAACATGACCTCGTTCTTCATAAGAGCTGCTTTCACTCTGATGGGCGCCTCCACTTCTACTGATGTGTTAACTGTATCT